TGAGTGAATAAGCACATAAAATTCTCCAACTATCTATTGGACTCCTGCTATGTACCTAGGCACTTTTCCAGGCACTAAACAAGACAGAAGTACCTGCTCTAATAAAATATGTTTTATTTTCCTCCGAGTTTAAAGGTAATAGGAGCTTGTTGTTGTTGTTATGTGCCGTCGAGTCGTTTGCGACTCATAGCGACCCTATGCACAACAGCCCTAAACCCTGCTCTATCCTGCGCCAACCTCACTGCCTCTGACACAATAGGGACTTAGAAAAAAAAAATTTCCTCTGGAGCTGAGATCTAAAATCCTACAGCCTGTGAACCAAATCTGGCCCACCTCTTGTTAACCCATGAGCTAACAGTGTTTTTTACATTTTTAAATGGGTGGGTGTAGGGGATTTACGGTTTGTTTGGGGTTGGTTTTTTTTGAGATTTTAATGAAAGTTTATAGAGAACTTGGATTTCCCTTCATTCATTGTTGCACATTTTCCTTCCTGCCCCACCCCCCAGTTTGCTTTTCTCTTTGAAAAAAAAATTATTTGGGGATTTACATATTTAAAAGGGGGAGGTTGGCTCCTTCAGTAGTTTCATTGGAAGGCACAGGCTCGTGGTAAGGAGTTGTGCTGCCTACTCAAGGGCACATGGTTCAAATTCACTGGCTGCTCCATGAAAGAAAGATGAGCATTTTCCTCCCTTGCAATTTACTGCCTCTGAAAACCCACTAGAGAGTAAGCTATGGGTCATTTGCACTCCATGGTACATGAGAAAGACATGGCTATTTTAAGGAATCCTGATGGTGCAATCATTAAATGTGCAGATGTTAACCAAAAGGTTGCCAGTTCAAATCCACCCAGTAGTTCCTAGAGAGAAAGACCCTGCAATCTACTTACATAAAGATTGCCATTTAAGAAGCTTTAAGGGGTCCTTTGGGGCCACTATGAATCAGAGTTAACTCCAGCTAACAACAAGATGATGCTTTATACCGCAAAAGTAGAGGTAAGTCGTTGAATTATAGTCTGCAAAGCTGAAAATATTTATCTGGCCCTTTTATAGATATTTCTCTAGAGTTTAGATGAATTAATGTTCTTAGCAACTGATACAACATATCAGATCCTTGTTTAACTTGATTTTGCAAATACTTTCAGCACATGAATAAAATAGTCTTTCCCCTTCCTGAATTATAATTATTTCAGAAAAAAATGTCCCTTTTCTTATAATAAATTTGGCATTGATTCTTCTCCCTCATTTCCCTTCTTGGCTGCCAATCCTTATTGATTTATCACTTTTTTAAAAAAAAACAGTCTCTCCTGGCATAGAGGCATAATGAATGGCTGCAATAGCAAATTAATCTGAGTTTAAGTAGGAAATTTGGGACAAGTGTCTGACGTGCCCCAAAGCAGTAGATATTTGGGTGGAAGTCAGAGAAAAGGCCCTAGGCCACCAATAAACGTTGTCAGGTGTTGTCAAATCAGAAACACCTCATAGTTGACCTCCATCAAGTTTTCAGAGACTATAAATGCCATGGGAGAGGATTGCCAACTTTTCTCCCTCTGAGCTACTGGTAGATTCAAACCCTGTGCCTTGGGGTTGGCAGTGCAGCTCCTTATCACTCAGCCAACAGAGCTCCCTCACACTAATACATGTTGTCATTGATTGCCTTCCAGCCGAGCACGACTCATAGCGACCCTATGAACAAAAGGTCTAAGGCCTTTCTATAACTATCAACATTTATCAAATTTCATAGAGTTTCTAGAGGCATGTTGTTTAGGATGTGTGGTTGCAATCTCTTGGAAAATTAAAGGGAAGAGTCTTTAACCCTATATGCCTCTTCAAAAGGCAAAGAAGACAGGCTTCAAAAGCCCCGCCTGTAAATAATGGCTGTGAACTTAAGTTGTGGCATGGGAAACAAAATGAACCCAATTACCCCTTACTTTGCTTGGCAACCCTGTTATACCTAAAGTAGGAACTGCAGCTACAGAGGATGTTCTTGTGGGCACTGAACTCAAAGCCATTGACCTTGATGACCACGTCGCAGAGCTTGCCCTCTAGCCTAAGCTCGTTGAAGATCTCACAGGTCATTGCACTCATCTTCCTCTCCATGTGAGGCTGGTGGAAACGTGTGGAGGCCGCTGTGCTCTCCATCTCCATGGCACCCTGGGACCAGCGGAGAGAGGCTGCTCTCCAAGGGTGTCGGGGAGGCTTGTGGGGGGCCCCTTCAGGCAGCTGTCGCTCCTTTTCCCTACTACATCTTTCAAATAGGACCCATCAGACAGTCCAAGTTCCAGAATCCTGGGCCTGCAGTGAGATCACGCTCAGGATTGTGCTCTCAGCTTCTGGAACTCTCTCTGTCCCTGGCCACTTCCCTGCCCCCTCTCCCACTGCAGCACCCAGGCTGCAGATCACTCAACACCTCCTTCATGGCCTAGAATCCAGAGCAGACAGCGATCGCCAACATCACAGAAGAGCTTTTGGTCATTCTGGTTCCTATGGCTCACTTTACACTGTGCCTTCTATCCTAGCATCCAGGGCTCTCCAGAGGCTGCTTGGTTCACCAGAGGCTGCGCACAAGGACATCCAAATCAGAGGAGGCAGAAGGAACAGTAATGTTGATTACATTGCATCCTGGCCCAGTTGTCTAGGAGCCTCATGTCTCTGGTGGTGTAGTGTTGTTAGGTGCCATCGACTCAAGGACCCTGTCCTATCCTGTGCCATCCTCATCATTTCTAAAACTTGAGCCCATTGGGGCAATCACTGTGTCAACCCATCTCATTGGGGGTCTTTTTCTCTTTTGCCAACCCTCCACTTTTCCAAAGTTGATGTCTCTTTCCAAGAAACAGCCTTTTCTAACAACATGTCCAGTGTATGTAAGATGAAGCTTTGTTCTTTGCCTTCAAGGAACACTCTGGCTGCACTTTCTCCAAGACATCCGTTTGTTCTTTTGGCAGCCCATGGGGATGTTCAGAACTCTTCAACACCCCAACTCCAAGGTACCAATTCTTCTTCTGCCACCTGCAATCACTGTCCAGTTCCCAAATGCACAAGTGATTGAAAAGCCCGGGACCTGAATCAAGCACACCTAAGATTCTGGTTGTGTGTCAGCCACGCATTTTCTTCTCTGATGAGTGGACCCAGTTACGGACCATCTGCTGCACGTTGACCAGAATTCCCTCTGCGGCTCTCTGACGTCCTTCCCAGCTCCACCAACATCTCAGCGGGTTTTCTTTGCAACTCAACCTTTAAGCCCGGAAGCAGCAGCCACTCTTGCCAGGGCTTTGCTCCAGAAAGAATGGTAGGAACCTACCCAAGGCCCTTCACCCTCAACAAAATGTTCTAGAAGGAGCCCACCCGAGGGCCTCTCGCCCTCGTCTATCCAAAACTCTCAGTGGTTTTCCGGAGCAGCACGACCACCCCGCGCAGCCCGCGTCTCCCTGAACGCTGCAGCCCGCGTGTGCGGGCGGGCGAGCGGGCGGCGCATGCGCAGTGCGGCGCCGGCGGTCGTCCCGGCTCCCGAGCAGGCCGCAAGCGCCATGGCGGACGAGGTGAGGCGGGGGAACGCGTCCGACGTGGGGCGGGCCCACACCCCCGGGGCGCTCGGACGCCCCCAGCGGGCCGCCCGGGCCTCGCCGCGCCACCCCGGCCTGTAGCCGACCCGCGCACCCCTCGCCCGGCCTCGCAGAGGTGCTCGAGCGAGCCCCGGGCTTCCCTTAGGGCCCCGCCGGGCGCCGGGGTCAGCGGTTCTCTCCGGTCTCGAGACAGGTGAGCACCTTGATGAAGGCCACGGTCCTGATGCGGCAGCCCAAGCGGGTACAGGAGATCGTGGGCGCCCTCCGCAGGGGCGGGGGGGACCGGCTGCAGGTACCGCCTGGGACCTGGGAGTTGGGCCGGGTAGGGGGGAAGGCGAGGGGGGTGGGGGTTTTCCTGCCCGGTGGCTTGGGACTCTGCTCCTGACACCTGCAAGCCCTCTCCACCCTTAGAAATGGCCAGGGACCAGTTTGCTTTGAAAGCATCCCACGCTATTCTAAAATCTGATGTCAAATTACTCCAAAAGATCATGCTGCTTCCTCCACATGGACAGAAAGCACCACACACCAGCACCTGAGATCTGATCTTCCTTCCACTCTAGCCCAGGCCAGCTGCTTTCCAAGAAAAAGTTGCAGATATGCATAAAGGTAGAGCCAGGGGAGGAAGGAGCCCTGGTATTAAGATGGGGACTACTCACAGTGTCAGAGAGTCCTGATGATCCATCCGGAATGCTAACTAGCATAGTACGGTCACTCCTTCCTTGTTTCTCCTGAGTTCTGTGTCCAGTCCCCAGGGCTTTCCCTGCACACCGTACAGCACCCCCTAGACTCAGGCCAGGCAAGGCCCGGAGGACCCTTCCTAGGCATCTTCTCTTTTTTGTGTTTCAGGTAATTTCTGATTTTGACATGACCTTGAGCAGGTTTGCATATAATGGAAAGCGATGCCCTTCTTCTTATAGTAAGTTACATACCAACTTCCCTGTTGGGCTTGACAGAATGGTAGCTTTTGAGGAACAAGTAACGGGAATTTTCTGTTTTTCCAGATATTCTAGATAACAGCAAGATTGTTACTGAAGAGTGCCGGAAAGAGGTGGGTTGCTCCCTTTTACTTAGAGATGTCTGTCATGTTTGACTGGTTAGGACCAAAACCTCCAAGATAGATTGTGTTGTTGTTGTTGATTGCTGTTGAGTCCAGCTGACTCTGAACAAAAGACCTGATGTCTTTCTATAACTATTGTTATTTCTCTGCAAGTTCAAAGAGTTTCCAGAGGCATGTGGTTTAGAAAGTGAATGCCACTCCAGCTTCCAAACCTGTCTTACACTGGCAACTCCACCAAACACTGTACACCTTGGGAAAACATTATGGTCTTTGACACCCCAATGGTACAAGGTTAAGCATCACAGAAATTCAGATTACCTCAGTACAGCAAATTGACAGAAGAGTGATGTACAATTTAGAAGAATGTTCCTCCAAAATATAACACTAGTCTCACTTAGCAATGGTTAAGTGCTGTCAAGTCGAATACGATTCATAGCAACCCCATGACCGAAACACCTGAGCCCTGTTTTACAACTAACATCGTTTCTGTGTGTTCATAGAGTTTCCAGAGCCATGTGGTTTAGGAAGTGGATGCCAGTCCTACTTCCTTCCAAACCTGAATCAATCTGGAAGCTTCTCCAAACACTGTTCCTGACGGATAACCATTATGGTATTTTACACAACTATGGCATGGTTTCAGGCTCACAGCAACTCCACTTTACAACTGCTGTACCACTTAAAGAATGTTCATCCCAAACTTAATTAATTTGGAATTTAAAATATCTAAGGTATTTTAAAGACAGGCACTCCCAACAAATGCTGTTGACTATAAACCAAGTAGACCCTCCACCCTTGGGTCCTTGTTAGCTAAGTTGAACAAAAGTCCAGTCAGCTGATACTCTCTTGTGGAGGAAAAAAAAATCAATAGCACAACAAAAATACATTAGAAGATTAACATTTTAAAAATTTTTTTATTGGTGGTGCTTGTCTTTACCTTTTGGCCTTGACCCAAAAAGATTGATGGTGGATATTATTTTTAATCATATTATTCTGACATTTATAAGTGACTTAGTTGTTGATGTTATGTAACGTCGTCGAGTCGGAACCAACTCATAGCTGACCCTTCTGTGGATTTTCGGGAGCAGTAAGTAATTCACATATGACGAGATTGCCCGTCTTTCTCCTTGGAGCATCTGGTGGATTTGCACCATGTGTCTTTGTGTTGGCAACACAGCTCCTTACCTACTAGGCCACCAGGGCTCCCTGTAGGAGACTTTGTTGTTGTTAGGTGTTGTTAGTAGGATCCATGAACAACACATCTGAACTTTGTGCTATCCTGTGACGTCCTCTTCATTTCTGACACCTTTGAGCCAATCGCTGTCTTCACTGTGTCAGTCCATCTCCTTAAGGATTGATCGTTAAGAGTCCCTAGGGTTATTTTATTTAACTCTCCTGCCATAAGGATCTACTCCAGCTACGTTGACTCCGAGTCATGTGGGTTTCTGAGGCTGTAAACCTTAATAGGAAGAGACTGCCTCAGTTGTCAGCCTCACACTTAGGCTGTTATGTCACCAAGATGCCTTAAGAAGTGGATAAAATAATGCATTTTTAATTTCTTTAAATAGGCCTTTTTAATTTTTACTACTTTTTTTAGTTTATTTTTATCTTTATGAGAACAAAACATCAGATCTTTTTTTTTTGTTTTTTGTTTTTAATTTTTATTTTATTATTTTTGTGTGCGTGTACCGACAAATCATATCTGACTGGTGCAGGAGGAGATTGTCCCTCCTTCCCCGGCAGAGCATCTGGTGGATTCGAACCGTGCACCTCTGGGATTGTAGTTGCAGCTCCTTGCCACTAGGCCACCAGAGCTCCCTAAAACATCAGATCTTTTTGTCTGTTAAGCTACTTGTTGTAGTATACTGTAGAGTTGGAACGGACCCATAGCTGACCCTCTGGTGGGTTTTCAGACACAGTTAATCACACAGGAGATTGCCCATTCGTCTTCTGTAGAGCAACTGATGGCCTCAAACTGTGTGCCTTTGGGATTGCAGTGCAGCTCCCTTGTCACTAGGCCTCCAGAGCTTCAGAAATTGGCTTGCTTTTAAAAATTTGAATATTCTTAATTTACAAAAGAAATAGTTTTTTTGCAGGTACATCTTTTTCTTTTATTATTGCTTTTGAGAATATACACAGCAAAGCAAACACAAATTCAGCAGTTGCTACATGTACCATTCAGTGATATTTGATTGCATTCTTCAAGTTATACAACCATTCTCATTTTCCTGTTCTGTGTCATTTCTCCTCCATTAACTCAACACTCACTAAGTTTCCTATCTAACGTCTCTAGTTGTTGAAATATTGTTTTTTATAAAACCTTTTCTTTAAAATGAATCTTTGACTGTTGTTTTATGCTGTCAAGTCAAAATGAACTCATTTGACCCTCCAGTGGATTTTCAGAGGCTGTAAAATTCCGGATTGTCTGTCTTTCTCTCACAGGGCAGTTCATGGATTTAAACCACCTGCATTTGGGTTCATAGCCCAGTTTGTTAAACTAGCAGAGCAAAAAGTATTTGTCCACGTTCCATCTGAAAATCGCCTTGCCAGTCTTCTGTGACAGTGAGCCACATTCTGGGAAACAAAACGGTTCACGCTGGTTAATCCATTCTTGAAGGTTCCTGCTAGTTAAGCCCTGATGGCTGAGCTAATTCCTAACAGCAGCACATTCTAGTAACTCTTTTCTAAGAGTAAGAGCTCTTTGTGTTGTTGATTTTTAAATCTCACTTTTTCTCGATGAGGAATGACCTGTATGGATTCAGTCACTCCTTGGACTTTTTATCAAATATGTCACTATGAACCCATTGACCACTTTTCTTGGGAGATAATAGGAGGAATTTGGCATCTGTACACCATGTGTCTATAGATGGGAACTTGAAAAAAACTTAACACTGTCTCACTTGAAGTTACTTCTTTGAAGTGATTTTTTTTGGGGGGGGTGTTAAACTGTAGGACTTTGGTGGGGGAAACTTGACATGGACTAATGGCTTTTCTCTTCATCTGGATGTCCCAGCTAACAGCACTGCTTCACCACTATTACCCAATTGAGATTGACCCTCACCGGACCATCAAAGAGAAGCTACCTCATATGGTTGAATGGTAAGTGATGGTGGGGGTCATAGAGCAACATCATGGAGTCTACGTAAAAGAAAAGCATAAGATGTTGATTGAGGAATATAGATGGTCCAGAACAGAAAGACAGCTAAATTCAGAGTAAAGATGGCCATTGGACATTGAAGAAAACCTTTTTCTGTAGTTGGAGTAGACCTAAAAGGCCTAAAAAATCCTAATTGACTAGAAGACGGGAGTCAGAGACAACATACCTAAGAATGAAGATTTAGCAGTGACATGTAGATAATGTAAATGTGGGAATTACTTGATTAGTTTACTACTGTTGATTATGATTTATAGTGACCCAGTTGGACAGAATGGAGTTTCCAAAGTTATACATCACTCTCTCTTTCTCTGTCTCTCTCTCTGTCTCTCTCTATCTATCTATGTAAATACTTATTATTATCTATATACTTTATGTATATACTTTATTTAAAATGCTCACTTTACTTCTGTTCTTCTCTTTGTGGGCTGAGGCTCAATTGGAGTCAGTCCCAAGGCAATACATCTTTTCAGAATCAGACTCATCTTTCTTTTTTTTATTTTTTTTAATTGATATTTTAATGAAAAGTTTACAGAAAACTTGGATTTCCATTCATTCATTGTTTTTGGTTTTTTTATTTTTTTTTTAAGTTTTTATTATTTTTTGTGTGTGTACCATCAAATTGGATCTGACTGGAACAGGAGGAGATTGTCCCTCCTTCTCCAGCACAGCATCTGGTGGATTTGAACCATTCACCTGTGGGATTACAGTACAACTTCTTACATCTAGGCCACCAGAGCTCGCCATCATTCATTCATTGTTGTACGTTTTCCTCCCTATCCCCCCCACCCTATTTGCTTTTCTCTTTAAAAACATTCTTGCATTGTTGAACAGTTTCTTCCCTCACCCCGCCCCCAGTCCACTTTGCTATGTACCTCTTATTCTGGACTGTTGTCATACAAATAATATCCAGTTATATATTTCTTTTAGACAGTTCTTTCCCTCATATATTTAAATGTAGTGTTTATTATTTACCCTCTCTTTTCTTGGTTTGCCCCCAACCCCCCCCCCCGACAGCCCTGTTTTATAACAGTGGTATTATGTAGTATTTGTCCTTTTGTGACTGAGATATTTCACTCAGCATAATATCCTCCAGGGTCACCAGTTTTGTTATAATATTTCATGGGTTCCTTGTTTTTCAGTGCTGCGTAGTATTCCATTGTATATACCACAGCTTCTCTATCCATTCATTTGTTGATGATGCTTGGCTTGCTTCCATTTCTTTGCTGTTGTGAACAATACAACAATAAACCTGGGTGTGCATGACTCATCTTTCTTTTATAAATTGGTTGGTGGATGAACTCACAAACTTTTGTTTAGAAGCCCAGTGTTTAATACACTGTGCCACCAGGGCTCCTTCATAACTGACTGTTGTTGTTGTTGTTGTTGTGTACTGTCAAGTTGGAACCAACCGTTAACTGAGTTTTTGGAGGTAATTAATTGTGAAGGAGAAGATTGCTCATTCTTTTGCTGGGGAGCAGTAGGTAGATTTGAACCACATGCCTTTGGGATTACAGTAACTGTTTCTTACCACTAGGCCACCAGAGATTAAGGATACATAGTAAGTGTATGGGCGCCACAGTTTATTGCAAATTTGTCACAAGAAAGTTGTCACAGGGCAGGTTTTTTTCAAGATTACCTGCTATTAAAATTATTCTGAGGCCCATTGTAAATATTTCTTGATAATACTGTGCATCAAGACCCTTTGGGTATAAGCTATCACATCTGCTTGACTATGATGGAAAGACTCTGGGAATAGAGTGTTAGATCCTGCCCCCTGCTAGGCCTCAGAGAAAAGAATGCCTCTTTTAGGTCAACAAAATGTTTGAGGAAGTGCTGTTTAGAAAAAGCAACTTTTGAAATTCAGCCTGGATTCTAGACTTATATCAAGATTAACATGCAATTAATGCTTGCATTTCAGACTGCTCTGTTTACCTACACCAAATGCCACTGATTCTTAAGCTCTCAAATGGTGAAGAAAAGCTGTTTGGTCCTTAAGATGGATTGGGGCTGGGGAGCCTGGGGGATTTCTTCCTGAGCTTTGATTTAAGAGGCTTGCCTTACCTCCTTGAGAGTCTACTGAATGTCATCAGCTCAGCTGTTGTCTCAAACAATGCAGTTACCACTGGGGCTAATTATGACTGCTTTCAAAGTGAGAGACCCCTTGATTTGGGAGATTCAGTGCCTTGGGGAAACCACGCTCCCTCAGAAACCAGCATGCTTGGATAGAGCCCTGCTTCTCTAGAGGGTTGGGTCATGAAGGAAGGGTTATAGAAGAACTTGAGCAGTTAAGTCACCTACCTCTTGCCTGTTTGTTGCTTTCTAGACCCTTCCTTTTAAGGACAGCCACAGTCCTTCAGGAAATGACTGTGTGAAAAGGGTGAGGCCTCCATTGTCAAGACCTAATGATTTGACTTTGGGGTTTTTTGGGTATATTTTCTAGGTGGACCAAAGCTCATGATCTCTTGTGTCAGCAGAAAATTCAGAAGTTTCAAATTGCCCAGGTGGTGAAGGAGTCCAATGCAATGCTTAGGTAAGCTGCTTGCATTGAGTAATTCTGCCAAGCTATTTTAATTGGTTTTACTTGAAAATAAGGAGGCTGGGAAGGAGTGATGAGAACCCCTGGTAGAGTCAGAAGGGACGTAATCTTGACATGAGGAAGTGATGTGAAAAGATCTTGCTTTTGTTCTTTGGCCACAATTAAAGAGTTTTTTTACCTTGAATTGCTTCCTAGGAAGCAGTCTGCTAACAATGGATTGTTGTTGTTACGTGCTGGCGAGTCACCTGTGACTCAGCGACCCTGTGTACAACAGCCCTAAACCCTTTTCTATCCTGTGCCAATTTCATTGTCTCTGACACACTTATCGCCATAACCCCAGTCACTGAATCAGTCCATCTCATTGAGGGTTTTCCTCTCCCACTGTCCCTCCACCCTCCCAAGCATAACGCCCCTCTCCAAGGACTGGTCCCTCCTTATAACATGTCCAAAGTATGTCAGACGAATCCTTGCCTCCAAGAAGCAGCCTGGCTTCACCCTCTGCAGGACGAACTTGTTTGTTCTCTTAGCAGTCCCTGGTATATTCAATACTCTTCTCTAGCTGACAGTGGATAGATAGTGTGAATCTGATGAGGGCTTCCTGTGAGATGAAGTCCAGCTCATTTTTCACAGTGCTAAGAGACTCTTGGGGTTCCCTGCACCACAAATGAGTGAGTACTTGACTACTAATCAAAAGGTTGGTAATTCAGAGACACATGGAAAGACAGCACTGTGATTTGTTCCTGAAAGGTCACAGCCTTGAAACCCCTGTGGTCAGTTCTACTTCACACGCATGGAGTTGCCATGAGTTTGAATCACGTCTGTGGTAACTGTAACAGTGACTTTGTGTTCTTTCTTCAATCCATGGAGTTGACTGGGCTGGGACCCTGGTGCCGTCTCTACTGGAGGAAGACGGGGCATGTGGAAGAAGTTGTCAGCATAAGCTGTCTCCAAGGATTGTGCATTCTAATTGGAGAATGAGGCTAGTAGGGGCTTTCTTAGTCAAGGTACCCCAGGATTTGTTGTTATTGTTGTTAAGTGTCATCAAGTCAACTGACAATTCATAGCTACCCTATGAACAATGGCTCTGAACCTTGCCCTGTCCTGAGTCAACTCCACCATCTCTGACACAGCTGACCCCATTGCCACACTCACTGTGTCGGTCCGTCTCATCCAGGGTTGCCTTCTCCTGTACTGACCCTCTGCCCTTCCATGCATGATGTCCTTCTTTAATGACTGGTCCCTTCTGGCAACATGGTCAAAGTATGTGAGACAGAGCTTCAAAATCCTTACCTCCAGAGAACAACTTGGTCCAAGGAGCCCCAGGATTGATGCTTGGTTATATGAGTAGTGGCTGAAATCTGCCTACTCTCTGCCTTAGCAGCCTTTGCCCGGAATCTCTCTACCCAAGGGAAGCGAGCACATAGCACCATTGTACAAGTACAGTGTATACTGTATATAAGACCTATATGAAGTGTTTATAGCAGCTTTACTCATAATAGCTAAAATATTAATTATTCCAACAGAAAATTGGAAATGTTTTCTAGGAATATTTATGTTTTTAGAATACTACGTATCAATAACAAAGGTTGAATTACTGATTAATGCAAACCATGGATAATTGCAGAAACATTGTATTGGTAGAGTCTATCACATGAAGTAAGACAGAGATAGGCATGGTTATAGGAAGTCACAATAAAATAGTTGTGTTTACTAGGAAGGAATATAAGGAACCTTGATATGGATAGTGGTTACTTCAGTGGTGGTGGTGGTGGTGGTGGTGGTATGTACCATCAACTTGGAAATAACCCTCCACTAAGTTTTAAGAGGCAGTAAATTATAGGAGAGGAAATTGCCCATCTTTTTCCTCGATGAGTAGCTGGTGGATTTGAACCACGTGTAAACCTATGTAAAAGTTAATTGAGCCGAACATTTAAAAATTACTGCATTTTACCCATTTTAGGTATTTTAGACTTGATTTTTTAAAGACTTTTTAAGATTAAAAATTCTTAACCCAAGTTGAAAATAAAGATTAGTAGCTAAAACCCCATGGCTCAGCTTTCATCCAAACAATAGGCAGCCATAATAGGTGAACAATAACATCAGGGAAACAGTCACTACTTAGAATAACCAACTATATAAATAAGGCCAAGGGCATCATTGACCCAAGGATAAAGCTCAGAAAGCAGAAAAGAAAATATTAATGGAAGTGAGAATCACAGAGAAGAAGTGGGAAGAGTGTAAGTTGCATTGTAAGGATTGTAATGAATAAACAAAATGTGAATGGTTGAAGGGAAAACCAATTTGTTTTGTAAACATTTGCTGAAATCACAATTGAAAAGAATCATAGTAGAGGCAGTTGTTCCAGCTGTCATTGTGCTGTTTCAGAATTCATTTCTCTGTCTCTTCAGGGAGGGGTACAAGTTGTTCTTCAACACGCTCTTCCGTCACAACATTCCCCTTTTCATCTTCTCTGCGGGCATCGGTGATATCCTGGAAGAGATTATCCGACAGATGAAAGTTTTCCACCCCAACATCCATATTGTGTCTAACTACATGGATTTTGATGAAAATGTGAGTCAAGTCATGCTTGAACTCGCAGTAAGAGGGCTGGGGGAACCACAGCTCAACACATCAGTCATGTTCAAGCACGCGAGATGATGCGGATGGCACAGCGTAGGACAGAGTCCCCATCGGTTGTTCGCAGGTTGATGTGAGTTACACTTAACTCAAGGGCATTCACAACCTCCTGGGGAGCAAAGCCTTGCTGCTTTTTTTGCCTTGAGGCAGTTTTTGTTTTCTTTTTTTGCTGGCTAAAGGCAGGTTACTTTTTATTTGTTGAGGTTTTTCTTTGGGAGGGAGGGAGCAGGTTACTTTTGAAAGATCCTGTTTTGGGTGTCTGACAGATGGCCAGTTCTTTTTTTTTTCCCTATAATTATATTTTATTAATTTTCATAAACATTTACAGAGATTTTGGGTTTCCATTCATTCATTGTTGCAGATGGCCAGTTCTGCTGTGGAGCATTCCTCTGCCCTGTCACTGTCTTGGGTCTGTGCTCTCCAGGGTCCTGAAGGGCCTGGCTTTGACTTGTTTTTCTAGAGGCCGGCTGCTCCAGCTCAGCTACTTCTCACTTCTTTCCCTTAAACCAGTGGCTAGAATTTTCATCCCTCTGACCAGAGTCAAGATGTGGCCTGCAGCTGAGGGTTATCAGCACGCTTGTGATCTGAACAGCACGTGCCTCACGTGTTCATGTTTTTACTAGACATGTATGCACCATGTTTGCTGGTCCTTGCTAGTGGAAATTAGAGCTGGGAAAATTTTCTGTCAAGGGCTAGATAGTAAATATTTTAGGCTTTGCAGACCCTAACTTCTTTGTCACCACGCTCACCTCTGATGTTATAGTGCAAGAAAGCAGCTGCAGACAACATGCCAGTATATGAGAATGACTATTTACACAAAACTATAGAATCAAGTCATAGTGTGCCAGCCCCTAGCTGAGACTGTCGTGCTGGTTCGACCTTCTCAGTGACTTTCTGGATTCCTTTTTCGTCTTGTGACACAGATGGAGAGAAACTGGCCCTAGGTGGGTGCCTGGAGCTCTTCTTCCTGTCTCTCCTCTTGATTAGGGTTACCTGCGAGGATTCAAGGGCCAGCTCATTCACACATACAACAAGAACAGCTCCGTGTGTGAGAACTCCGGTTACTTCCAGCAGTTTCAGAACAAAACCAATGTCCTCCTGCTCGGGGACTCCATTGGGGACCTCACGATGGCCGATGGGGTTCCAGATGTGGAGAACATTCTCAAGATTGGCTTTCTTAATGACAAGGTGGGTTATAGATGGTGCTTCCTCACTTTGTGGTTTCCCCTCCTTGGCCCTTGAGTTGAATACCTGCTATGTGCTAGCCACTACATGAAGCATTACAGCTCAGAGATAGGACACAAACTCTATCCTCCAGGAACTTGCAGTTTCACAGGAGGAAAAGGAGACACTTAACTATGTGCCTTGTATTGTGCCTTGACACGAGGCCAGAGGAAGAGTGATGCTGGACACATGGTTGTAGCCAATGTTTGCGGAGTGTTCCTGGTACGTCAGGCCCTGTTCTAAACCCTTCACATACCTTAGTTCACCTCACCCTCACAAGCCTTCAAGAGAGTGTCTGTTGTCATCTCCATTTTATTGATGGAGAGACCAAAGAAGGGAGGTTATGTAGTTTGCCCAAGATCACGTTGTTTAGAAAGTGGTGGAGGGGAGCTCTGGTGGCCTAGTGGCAAGAAGCTGCACTGCAATCCCAGAGGAACATTGTTTGAATCCACCAGATGCTCTGCCGGAGAAGGAGGCGCAATATCCTCCTGTACCAGTCAGATCTGATTTGACGGTACACGCACACAAAATAATAAAAAATAAAAATTAAAAAAAAAATTAAAAAAAAAAAAAGAAAGTGGTGGAACTGAATACCAGTTCTCTGAAATCATGCCTTGGAGGCAGTCAGTATTCAGGATATGAGTTTATAGTTTAGGGAACAGAAGGACAGACCAGAGACTGATAGAATACTGTTATCATCAAGCAGCACAAAGTACTACTGTAGTCCCCACCTCAGCCAGAAGGCATTGAAATGACCAGAATGTCGAAGCCTCACGACAGTTCAGTCCAGGTAGACTAGAAATAACATCTGGTTTTTCCATCTTGGTTACTGTCCTTTTGGCATTGGCCCAAGGATTACCCAGAGCAGTCCTTGCTCATTGCACAGCCCTATCTTCAAAAGGCAGGTCCCTATAACCTTGAACTCCTCTCCTACCCTGATCCTTCAGCCTTTGAAAATGGGGCTTGGGAGTTGCTGCTCCCACGCCCTCCTCCTGCAGCCCCTTGAGACCTCTCAGTCTCTTCCTGTCACCCGGGCAGGTGGAGGAGCGGCGGGAACGGTACATGGACTTGTATGACATCGTGCTGGAGAAGGATGAGACGCTGGACGTGGTCAATGGGCTGCTGCAGGACATCCTGCGCCAGGGGGACCAGCTGGAGGTGCAGTTCTGAGCACAGGCTGACCCTCGGAGGGAGCACCTTGCCCGAGCACTGACCCTGCACGTGTGGCCCAAGATAATGCAGAGCTTAAGCCCTGCCACTCCTCCCTCCATTCCCCCAGCGCCTTCCATCATGTTCACCGGACCTGCTGGGGGGAACCTGACAGGTGAGAGGACAGCCAGAGCTGCCCCAGATGAACCGGGAACCTGCAGGATACGAACGCTCTGGGGAATCATCCAGTCCAGGCATTTTTTTTCCTCCCCCCAAAAATACCTTTTTAAACAGATCTAAATAAAAATTGGAGTAAAAAAACAAACCCAGAAAATAACGATTTTGACCCAGGTGTGTGAGGACAGAGCTTGTCCTTGTGGATCCTTTAGAGTCTGAAAGCCACCAGAGTATTGTAGGAAGAATCTGGGCACAGCGAGAGACGCCTGTGGGCATCAGGTGGCCGGGATGGGGCTGCCTTTATTCCAGGGCAGCTCCAAAGCTATTTCAGTCTGAAATAGGTTGTACCAAGGCAGCCCTCTCTGCTGCCCCTGCCCCCTTTAGGGATTCTAAAAAGAGTCCATTAGAGTGTGGACTTCTGGTGCCCTCGACTCTTTTTCTTCCTGCCTCTTGAGTGGGCCCAGGGCCATGAAAACATGACATTAAAGGAAGGTCTTGACCGGTAACCCAGTCAGGCTTTCACTCGGACGTGGTGCCAGAGGAGCGTTAAATTCTTATTTTGTGTTATTTGGGTTTTACTACTTCTTTCCATTTTTTTCCTGTTGACGTAAAGAGTTAGATGGCCCCCAGAAGAGATAGTATAAGGAAAGATGTACACCATTATTTATACAATCCTGCATGATCAGTAATAATAAGCATTCATCTACAAGTGGCTAGATACATCGGCAAACAGGCAAGATAAACAGATAAGGACAGAAGAAAGGGACTAACTCATGACCATGACTAGATATGGCAGAGGTTTTTCTGTATTCATATCAGTATTTATTGAAAATATCTCTCTAAGGGAGCTCTGGTGGCCTAGTGGCAAGACACTGCACTGCAATCCCAGAGGTACGCAGTTCAAATCCACCAGATGCTCTGCTGGAGAAGGAGGGGGCAATCTCCTCCTGTGCCAGTCGGATCTGATTTGACGGTACACGTAAAAATAATACAATAAAAATAAATTAAAAATAAAAAAAAGAAAGAAAATATATCTCTCTTCATAGTAGAGCGGATAGGGGATAGAGTTATGCAAACTTCTAATCATAGGGAAATACCCTAAGGGAGTAAGTTGCTGCTCAGAAGGCTTCAGGACAATAGTCTGTGCACATCAAGGTCAGCTGGCACAACATAGTTCATAAAGACAATGTCCTACATCCTTACTTAGTAGGATGAGTAGTCTTAAAATATGTAAGCAGCCATCCAGGTCTCTCCATGTCCAGAATAAAGATGAGTAAAGAAAATCAAAGACACATATAAGCAGTTTGTCCAAAGGACTGTTAGACCACATGAACTTGACTTCTACTACCCTGAGACCAACAGAAACTAAATAGTGCCCAGTCACCACTGTTCTCTCTCAAAGGTATTATAGTAGAAAAGTCTTGAATAGAGTGGACAAGAAATGGGGAACACAAATACAGAAAGATGGTTGGCCTTGTTGGTCTGATAAGAGACTAGTAGAACCCAGCATGACTTTGAGCCTGAAACTAAACTCTGCTGCGGTTCAATTTTTAGCCAAACAGACAAGCCTATAATGTGAACACAAATAGCAGGGCAGTACTCACTCTGTAGAATAATCAGTCATACAAGGAGAAAAGCAGCATTTACCCAGGGATACAGCTCAGAAGACAGGATCGAGCATGCTAGAAGGATTAATGGAAATGAGAAATGCAAAAAGCAGGAAAAGTGTAGTTGGAATGTGATTATTGTAATTTCATAACAAGTGTGAATGAGTGAAAACCCCAGTTTATTCTGTAAACTTTCACTCAAATCACTATATTTACAAATATCTTTGCATATCTCATATTGCATTGGGAAAATCTCGTCAAGTACCTCTCCAAAGTGCTAAGGGGTAGTGATGTCCATTTAAAGACTAAGATGTACTTGATTTTAAGATGCCCAGGTCTTTTCGGTTACATGGTATGTTTCTGAAAGTTGGGCAATGAATTGAATAAGGTTGGCAAGTGGTAATGCCAGTGACTGAGAGTGGAGAGAAGGGGAATATTGTCGCAAGGGAAACTAGGTGAAAAAATGAATTCAACCTGGTGGTTTCATTTCATCCTTGAGCTTTGTTATGTTGTGCTTGAGGTCAGGGACCTTGTTTTCCCATTCACACTGGAACCTGGAAGACACGGATCATCTCTCCATGCTTCATCTCTAAACACCCTCTCGCTGCTTTCCCAGACCTGACCTAGGAGAACGGAAGCACAGGTCTGGGAAGGCAGCAAGAGGGCGGTGTCTAGAGGAAGGCTGAGATGGAGGGACCCTGTCGCCAGGCAAAGGCCTTGGACAGCATGCTTTAACGTTTTTGGCCAATTGTTGGCTCTAAAGCTCCTGTGCCCTCCCTCCCCAAAAGACCACCTCTCAAAGCTTTGGTTTAATCTTTTATTTGGCACAAAGGAGAAGGCCCTGACTCCTACCCCTCAGTCCCAAATGAACCTCTCTTTGAAATTTATCCCACCACAAAACCCAAAAATTTTATACCCTCACGTCAGACCCATCTGAACGAGCCCTGGGGACACAGTGGTTAAGCACTGAACTTCTAACCAAAGGGTGGTCAGCTCTGAACACACCGGCTGCTTCAGAGGAAAAAGATGGGGTGATCTGTGGTTGTGAAGATTTACAGCCTGGGAACCCTAGGAGGCAGGTCTATTCTGTCTTGAGGGGCTCAGTGCGATGGAGCCAGAACTGTAGGGCCTTGTGGGGTGAAAGGCCACACAAAGCCCAGCCTGTACCCCCAGACCTCGGGGTCATCTCAGCCTCTGCTGGGAACAGTGAGATGGGGAGTGGATGGGATGAGGTCCTCGACAGGGTGAAGTCCTCGGAACCAGCCAGAGCTGAGGGAGGGTAAGGAGGGGTCCTGATCCGCACTTTGGAGGAGCTGCCACAACAGAAAAATAGGGGCTAGAGGTGTAGAATTGCAGAGGGCAAGGGGAGGAATGAAGAAAGGATTCTGGGTGGATATAGAAATGGATGAGCTCAGTCCCGAGTCGTAGTACTGGAGGGCGATGTGGGTGTGGGGTCCTAGCCCTGTCCAAATCCTGGATCCCACCAATCCCCAAGGTTGCCTTTCTAACTACAAAATTAATTAAGGGGTTTGGGGATGAAGGAGAAAAATGGAATAGAGGTCTGCACCTGACAGCTACGGAATTGAACCCGGGGCTGCTGGGAAGACCGGCTTTGGCTCCGCTGATAACTTTTTCGGTGCCTCTGGAACAATCATCTAGGCAGAGGGTAGTGACTATTCAAAGGACAGTCCCACTGCCCTGTGTCCCCCACAAAGGGAGGCCACTACATTTGAGACCAAGCCCAGGCCTCCTGCCCTTCAGAGTTCCTCATGGACCCGCTCCTGGTCTTCGTCCGACTTGAGCTTGAGCTCCTCGGGGGTGACCTTGCCGTCCTGGTTGCGGTCTTGGTTCTGGAACATGTCCCTTATGGTTTTCTCGGGGTCCTGCCCAGGCATGAGGCGTCCTTTGCCCTCAGCCACTTGAGCCTTAATGAAGGTGGCAAACTAGGAAGGAGAGAGGGTGATGGCTGAGCAACTGGAAGGGCCCCCTGTTGATTCTTTTAATTGTTTCTGCCCCTCCTGACCTCAGTAAAGGATGGGAGGAGAGGAGCTGTGGGTGGGGGTTCTGGGCTGAGGTCAGGGTGGAGGGCGTGGCTTGGGGGACCTTTTGTCACTAGGGCCAGAGCTGCAGGGCCCTGAGATGTGCAGGTGCCAGAGGACAAGGACGACACTAAGGACTTGGCCGGGACTCAGCCAAGAGGCAGGGACACAGGAGCAGAGCGGGCAGGGTGGTGACATGCACGTGCACCGCGTTACTGCCCAAGAGCGCCATGCACACCAGGCTCCCGACAGGTGCGGGTGTGGGCATGGGACTCCTTGCTCACCTCCTCAGGGGGCACTTCTCCATCCTTGTTGAGGTCCATGTTTTCAAAGAGGTTGCCCGGTGGGTCCTCATGCCATATAAACAGGTACCCTTCAGGTACCCCCTCTTCCCGAGACACCAGCTCTACCTCAAACAGCAGCACAGCGCTGCCAGGGACCCCGCGGGCTGAGGGAGAAAGAAGAGGAAGGGGTCTCCGTCAGAGGCTGGACATGGCTTCCACCTTCCTCAAGATCCCCCTGGCCCACAGGCCTCCATCCTCCCACCCTGAGGTCTGAAGAGGGGTATAGGGTGTTCACAGAACCATCCTGAAGGACTCCCTGACTTCTTAGCAGCCATCAAGGCTGAAAATAAACGTCAGGCAAATCAGATGAAGTACCTCTCAGCCCCGGCCCTGCCCTCTCACCTCCGCTCTCTCCATGTGCCAGGTGTGGGGGCACCACCAGCTGCCGTCTCTCGCCCACGCACATGCCCTGCAGGCCCGTGTCCAGGCCAGTGATCACCTTGTTGGCTCCCAGTGTCGCCTGCTGGGGGCTCCCATAGTCATGGCTGGGGGAGAAAGCCATTCCCAGGTCAATGCCAGGCCGGCCTCCGTCCGCTCTTCTTTCCTCCTCTCCCTATAAGCCCCACCACCTGGTGCCCACTCTATGCACAGGATGCCAGGTCTAGCAGAGCAAGGGTGAGACCCTCAGCTTCCTCTCCCCACTGCCCCCACAGTGTGGCCCAGAGACTTCATCTCTTCCCTGTTCAGTCTGCCCCCATAAAATGCAAGTAGCGGCCTTCTCGCGAGTCTATGTTCCCCTTCCCGTCCCCTGTGGATTAAAGAATTTCATCTCCAGGTGACTCCTGCATCCTTCCCGTAGACAGGAAACCTATGGAGGAAGCAGGAGTCTGGATGCTCCACCAGAGACTTGGGGGAACAAGGTCAAGTCTCTGAGGAAGGCCCCCTGACCTGTTGCCACCCCCTGCCCAGCCATGGCCCTGCCTGGGACCCACGAGGAGAAGAGCTTGGTGCCGTCCACCAGAGAACAGTTATAGTGGTATTGAACGAAGTCTCCAAGCTTGGACGTCTCGTTGCAGGCCTCTGGGGGCCGGAAGAGTGTCTTGATTTCTACTGGGTCCGCAGGGTTGTGGAAGTCAATGATGTGGACATCGAAGATCAGAACAGCAGAGCCAGGGATCTTGTCTCCTGAGACCAGAATACAGGAGCAGGTCAGCTCTGAACTCTAGGAGGGCTGCCCAGCTTCTGAGCCCCTCCCCATCCTGGGGTTTCAAACAATGATGGGTAAAATGTGCAATTAATTCTCCTAATATATCCTTGCTGTGGAGAGCAGGTGGGGCAAGGAGCATCACGGTTTAGAGAGCCCTTTTACACTCTCCTTGCAAACTCTTTGTAATGGCTGATCATTATTAGTCCCATTTTACAGATGCAGAAACTGAGGCATCAGGCAAACAGGCCTTCAAATCCAGGTCTGTGTTTCTGAGAGTTAAGAAGTGATTTCCGGGAGCTCTAGTGGCCTAATGGCAAGAAGTTGCACTGCAATCCCAGAAGTACGCAGTTCGAATCCATCAGATGCTCTGCTGGAGAAGGAGGGGCAATCTCCTCCTGTACCAGTCAGATCCGATTTGAGGGTACACACACATAAAAATAATAAAATTTTTAAAAAGCTATTTCTGTTCCTCCACAACTATCCTTCTCTCTCCAACAGTGAGTCAGTGATTTTTCCTGGATGTGGAAGGAGACAATAACAGGGGACAAGATGGGGCTGCCCTGGAGAAGATGGATGGCATCTATGGGTGGGTCGCCTGATGTATATGCGCTTATGAAGAAGGGCAGAGCAGGGGAGCTCTGGTGGCCTAGTGGCAAGGAGCTGCAACTACAATCCCAGAGGCACACGGTTCGAATCCACCAGATGCTCTGCCGGGAAAAGGAGGACCAATCTCCTCCTGTACCAGTCAGATCTGATTTGATGGTACACTCACAACACACACACACAAAAATAAATTAAAAAAATAAAAAGAAGGGCAGAGCAGTGCCTCACTCCCACGGTGCTGGGGGTCCTAGATCATGCTTGGGGAGGGGGAAGGTCAGTGAGCTGTTTAAGGAGGTGATGAGATGGGAACAGCTGTACCTGTTCCATTCTCCCCATAGGCAAGGTGTGGGGGGATGGTGATCCTCCGGCGCTCCCCCATGCAGGCACCCTGAAGCCCCTGGTCCATCCCGGAGATTATGTAACCCTGCCCGATATAGGTATTGTAGGTGTGGTTGCGGGAGTAGCTGCAATACAAGGCGGGGAGGGCCAGGGAGAGGGGGGGTCAAAGGGGCCCTCCCCCGTCCAGGCAGTTCACCAGCACCCCACAGTGGCTGCGTGGGGTAACCCCAAGCCAAACCAACCACCACCGAGTCAATGGTGACTCATGGCAGCCTCATGTGCAGAGCAGAACTGTGACCTTTGGAAGTCAATCGCCAGGCCTTTCTTCCAAGGCACCTCTGAGTGAGGAAGAGCCAACCTTCCAGTTAATAGTGAGGGGCTTAACTGCTTATGCCAGCATTCAGCATCTCCCTCCACCCCAAGTCCTCGCCTCCTTCTTCAGGGCCCTCCAGACCTGGAGTCAAAAAGGGTGCCATCCATCAGCGAGCCGTTGTAGTGATAGCGCATGAAGTCCCCAGCCACAGCTCTCCGGACACAGCCAGCGGGCATCTCCAGTGTCTCCAGCTGGACTGTATCCTTCGGGTTGTGGAGGTCGATCAGCAGGACGTGGAAGACCAGGGAGGCCTGAGGAGGTATCACAGTCCCTGGGGACAGGAGAGGGCTTGAACCATCCAAGTAGAGAGCTAACTGGCTCCTTTTCAACTCAAGAAGGAAAATGTGGGCACCAGGCAAAAATCTGCTCTCTGGAGCCCTCGCCACCCCAAGCATCAGCAGCTTTGTTTCTTGTTCCCCCTGTGAAACCTGAGCTGGTGTTTCCCCTGCTCAGGGCCACGACCAGCCCACACTGAACCTTTTTGTAAATTAGAATAAAGTACTCCTTAGCTAGACAAGTGCCAAAGGCTCAGTTTCATCCCTACTTGCCTGCTTGGCTGGGTGCCCTTGTGCAGTACACACCCTGGATAACTGTATATGGCAGCCCTGGTTTTCCCTTTTCTGAGAATCCTCCCTCGGTCCCTGTCAGCCCTCACCGTAGCCTTTCTCTCCATAGGCCAGGAACGGAGGGATGATGATCTTCCTTCTCTCTCCAGGACACATGCTGAGCAGCCCCTGGTCCATGCCCTTGATGAGCCAGCCGGAGCCCACATAGGTGTCGTAAGTACCGCCCCTGCTATAGCTGTGGAGGAGAAGAGATGTTGATCCTGGCGGTGGGAGAGGCATGGACCCCAAGGCTTCCTCTTTACATCACAGCCCTTACCTGGAGTCAAAGGCCGTGCCATCCAGCAGTGTGCCATTGTAGTGGTAGCGGACGAAGTCACTGTCCTGGACCATGCGGGGGCAGTGGGGCGGGCGCAGCAAAGTGCTCACCTGCACAGTGTCCGCCTTGTTCCACACATCCAGCAGGACCACGTCGAAGTAAAGGGTGGCATCCGGGGGAATGAGCCCGGCTGTGAGGATGAGACAGCACCGCAAGGTCGCGGGGTGCAGAGGTCTGAGGGTCCTGCTCTGCCTCCCTCCCCACCCCCTTCAGCTCCCCTTCTTAGTCAAGTGATGATCCCACCCAAAAAACCCAAACCAAATCTGCAGCCATCAAGTCAGTTCTAAGTCCTAACAACCTTATATGTTACAGAGGAGGAAAGTCCACCAGGGTTTTCTTGGCTGTATTTTTTTTTTCTGTATTCTTTATGGAAGTTAATTGCCAGGCATTTCTTCTGCTACATCACTGGATGGGTATGAACTATCAACTGTCAGCTTAGCAGTCAATCACAAACCACTTGTGCAAGGGGGCTGTCATTCTCCTTCCTTCCAATCCAGAAAGAGGAGACTGGAGCTCTAGTCCAGACCTGCTATTATTGTGCAGAGTGACCCTGGGCAGGCAAGCCTCTCCCTTTCTCTGAGCTCCAGCTTGCCGACTCAAGGGCCCTGAGTCTGCCTCCCTCCACACATCCCTGTCCCTCTGTTCTGCCCCCAGCTCTGCTCACCCACGCCGATGCTGCCGTAGCCCAGGTGGGGGGGCACAATGAGACGCCGTCGTTCGTTGACACACATGCCCATGAGGCCACGGTCCATGCCAGTGATGAGGCGCCCCACGCCCACCACAATGGCCACCAGGGTGTTTCGGTCATAGCTGGGGAGGAGAGAGATGGGGTACAGGTGTTGACAGTTGCTAAATGGTTCCCTCTGCTGATGGTCCTTATGTGCATAGAGTGTGAACACACACACACACACACCTCCCTATACTGGAAGTGGATCCACATCCTCCACACATCCTCTTCACACCTCTCTTCCAGGTAAAGACCTCCCAAACTTCTTAAAAGGATGTTGTTGTTGTTGTTATTGTTGTTATGTGCTTTTGAGCTGGACCTGACTCATAGCTGACTTCCCAGTGGGTTTTCAAAGGCAGTAAAATTACACAGGAGATCATCCACCTACAGAGCTGCTGGTAGATTTGAATGACTTGCCTTTGGGATTGCAGCATAGCCTCTTTCCACTAGGCCACCAGAGCTCCCTCATAAGAGGCTAAGCTGTTACAAAAGAGAAGTTCCTGAGAAGTCCAGGGGCAGTTGTTACCAGCCCAGAGAAGGAGCAAGTAGATCTGTCATCTGTTTGCTAAGAGTGAAGCATGGTAAGCCAGCAGGGTGGGGAAGAGGAGCATTTATTTAGCATTTACTGTGTGCCAGATACAACACTTGGCATTTTTTATTTAATCCATTCTCCCATGAAGTGAGCATTACTGTCTTCATTTTTTTTTCTTCTGAGAAATAATAAAGACTTTACAGACTAAAAGACTCGTCCAAGGTCACAATGCTACTATGTGGTGTGTTGATGTCAAAGCCCACGTTTCAGCCTCTAACCACTGACTCTCCAAAGACCGGAATAAGAAGTAGTGTAGGTTGACTTTACATTTGGGGATTGACTTTACATTTGTATAAGCCCTATCTGAACATTGCCATAGTTTTTTGTAGGTATATCTTTATTGCCCTTTGCTTTATAGTGCCCTGCAGATTCTGCCTTTTCTTTTTTTAAATACAAATTGAAGGTTTATAGCAATCCCATGTTAAGAAAGACTCTTGGTGCCATTTTTCCAACAATGTGCTTAATTTCTATTTGTCACATTTTGGTAATTCTCACAATATTTCAAATTTTTCAAAATGCTACTGTACACTTAATAAACTTCAGTATGGTATAAACACAACTTTGATATGGACTCATTGCCTTTAAATCTGAGCCAATGCAGCTGACTCTCCATGGAGTTTTCAAGGCTGTAAATCACATGAGAGTAGACTATCCATCTCTATCCCTCGGAGCCGCTGCTAGATTTGAACCTTCAGAGAGGAACAGTCTCTGGATTGGCAGCACGACTCTCTGTGAACTATCCCACCAGAACCCTTTCTACATACACTAAGAAACAAACAAAAAATTGTGTGACTCATTATTTTTCAGTCTGGAACTGAACTCAGATCTCCAAGGTTGCCTGCATTTGAGTTACATTTTCTTCCATTTATTTTGCATTTTCAGAAGGTAAGGAAGGGTGAATGGAGCTCTCTGGTGGCATAGTCCACAGGGAGATGAACTGCTAACTTAAAGGCTGATCACCTCTCTGGAAGTTTGAATTCACCAGCTGCTTCTCAGCAGAAAGATGGAAAATCGCCTGTACAACAGACAGCCTCAAAAGCCCATGGAGGAACAACTCCACTGGTTTAATTCTGACAGGACAACAGTGAGTTTGAATGTTTTGTCCCATAGTTTCCAAAGCGGTAATCTTTATGGACATACACTACTACACCTTTCTCTTGCAGAGCAGCTGGGAGGTTTGAACCACCAATCTTTTGGTTGGCAGCCATATGCTTAATCACTGAATGCTTGGCTGATGCTTAAAGTTTTGACTAACAGTGACCCTGTAGAACAGGGTGGAACTGCCCCATAGTGCGTCCAAGGCTGTACGGAACTTTATAGGAGGAAACAGACTACAGACCTCTTTCTCCTGTGCAGTGACATCTCCTGTGCATTTGATCCGTCAACCTTTTTTTTTTAAAATTTTTTAATTTTTTTTTTATTTCAATGAACATCTACAGAGATTTTGGAATTCCATTCATTCATTGTTGCACTTTTCTCCCTGCCCTGCCCCCCCTTCCCTCCTCCTTGAAAAGCAAAAGAAAAACTCCTTCATTGGTACACAATACCCCCCACCCCGGCACAGCTCCCACCCCCACCCCCACCCCAAATATACTCCACTCTGCAACCCTCATTCCATAACATAATGCCCTAAAATATAATACTTTTAAACTATTCTCTCCCTCATAGACTTCAATGCAGTAAACATAATTTATCCAGTTTTTCTCAGTCAACCTTTAGGTAAACAGCATAAGGCTTTAACCACTGTGTGTCCCAAGGTGCCTTCAAAACTGTCTGAGGAACAAACCCACCCACTGCTGTCAAGTCAATTGAGTCATCATATTTCTAAGGCTTTTTTTAAAAAAAAATTATTTTATTTCATTATTTTTTGTGTGTACCGTCAAATGAGATCTGACAGGTACAGGAGGAGATTGTTCCTTCTTCTCCAGCAGAGCATCTTGTGGATTTGATAAGGCTCTAACTCTTTACCAGAGGAAACTGTTCATGTTTCTCCCAAGGAGAAGCTGGTGGATTGAAACTGCTAGCATTTCTGTTAGCAGCCCAGCATGTCATGGACTTTGTCACGAGGACTCCTTTGGCTACGGCTTAGACCTCGGTGCACCTAGACCTAGACCACTGAGCTGGATTTATACCTAGCCTACTTCCTTCATATTATTGTTTTGAACATGGCCCAGAGTTTTCTGAGTTAAAAATCAACATGGCATAAGCTTCTACCCAGAGTTAAAATGAACAACGTATACACGCCTGTGGATAGCGAGGTCTTATGTCATGCTCATTTTCACTGTCTTTTTTTTAAACTAAATGAGTTACTGGATTTTCACAAGCGGTTCATGGGCACTGCAACCAAAATGTCAAAGAGAACAATGTGCTCACCCCAGCGCCCCTTCTTCTGCTGCCTCCTCGCCCAGTATTAGCAGCATCTTAACTTCTATCACTGTGGCATAGCTGTGACTGTTTTTAAATGAAACCAGATAGCTCCTCTTTGGAGAAGCCTGAGTGATGCAGTAGTTAAAGAACTTCACAGTCACTAAAATATCAGGAGTTCAAACCCACTAACTGCTGTGCAGGAGAAAGACAAGGCAGTTTGTTTCCTTCTGTAAAGACTTAGAGCCTTGGAAATGCTGTGGACAGTTCTACTCAGGCCAGCAGTGCCATTATAGTCAGGATCAGCTCGATGGCTGTGGGCTTGAGGGGTTGTTTTTAGTATTCTTTGGCTTCTGGTTCTTTTCACTCAGTAGTATTATTACTTACTCAGTATTATTTTAAGGGAACCTTTTGAGCTGTCACATTTAATGGCAGGCTATCCTCACGCTGTGCAGAATCCCATTTGTGGATCTATCATAGTTTATTAAGCCATTCAACGGGTAGTGGGTATTTGGGTTGTTTTCCACCTAGGGCAATCACATTCCTCATCCCATGAGTCCTAATATCAGTCTTATTATTATTGTTGCTATGTACTGTCGAGTTGGAACCTACCCCTCTCCAGCTGGTTTTCACAAGGATTTGAACCTCAAGCCTTTGGGTTGGCAGCACAACTACTTACTACAAAGTCATCAGAGCTCCCTTAGGAAGCCCTTAGCCATCAGCCTTGTTGTTATATGTTGTCAAGTCACTTGCAACTCATAGCGACCCTATGTAGAATAGCTCCGAACACGGCTCTATCCTGAGCCAACCTCATTATTTCTGGCCTATCTACCCCAATTACTCCAGTCATTGAGCCAATCTATCTCTTTAGCAAGTGAGTATCGTTGTCTTTATCTCCATTTTAAAGAAAAAGAAATGACGTTTAAAGGGCCATGATACTTGTCTTCAATCATAGAGTGAGTGGGCTTGAACTCAGGGTCTTGGCTTTTGGAGCGCATGCTTTCGCCTCCAAAGACATATCCACTAATTTATTCCCATGGGCTGAGCTGTGTTTTAGTGAAAGGTCTAAAAGTTACTGATTTGGGGGGGGGCATGGTATGGAGTTTGCATGGATACGACAAGGACTCACGCTTACCCCGGAAGCCAGTGCACACCTTTGTCCTGCTGGCACCAACAAAAAAGTGGACCTGCCAGAGGGGACCAGGAGCCTGGAGCAGACCAGAGAGGTCTGTTTTTCAAACTCCAAAGTTAGTAAAATGGGTGTCATGGGCCTGGTAGGGCTAAGATGGAGGGAGAGAAGAGAGAGAGGGAGGTTGAGGGAAAGCAAAAGGCCTGCAGGACCAGGAGTGAGAGGCAGGAAAACCTCAGATGGTTTGACCAACTGTGTGACACGTAGACAGAGTCCCTGACAACCAGTAACGCCCCACCCCCTCCAGATCCATCCACTATATTATTATCATGTTCTCCCCTCTTCACTTCATCACCTAGGAATCACCTCCAAAGTTCACCCTCTTCTTCCATCCCACAAATACAGAAAAATGATCAGGAGTCAACCGAGAAGGGAATCAGAGCAGTGGAAAGGCTGAGGGGTCCCAGGCTGAGACCACTGGAGGATCCCCATGCAGCAGGCACCATCCCCTTTCCCCACAAAAAGACCAGAGCGCCCACAGCCCTGTGGCTTTAAATAAAGCAACTGAAATAGAGTAGAAAGAACTGTTTGCCTTGATTCTAAAGTTATAGGGGTTTTAGGGAGCTTGTGTGAAAGAAATTGTGGCCCTTTGAAAGGTGAAGGTTTCTAACTGGCAAGAAGCTATCTTTGGGAAGATGGGTGTCTGTAAGTCCCGGGATGCTGTGTCTGGTGTTAAGGGATCATGGAGTGAGTGCCTGGATGCGGAATTCAAAAAACCGTCAACCAGGGCCTGAACCTAAGTGAGCCTGCCTGCTCAGGAGAAGGGGATAGAGAGTCTGGGGGCGCCCAGCCATTACCTGGAGTCAAACTTCTTGCCGTCCTCAAAAGTGCCGTTGTAATGGTAGCGCACAAAGTCCCCCATCTGCACCTCCCGGGGACAGGCCCTGGGGATGTGGTACCTCTCGATGACCACATCTTCCAGGGGGCCCCCAGCCGGGTTGGCGCGGCCCAGTCCCCTCCCCACAGCCTGCAGAAGCAGCAGCAGCAACTGCAGGAGCGGGAGTCGGAGGGTGTGGCTGCGCGGGCCCGCGGGGAACATGGTGCCTGGAGCGGGGACGGCGGGCAGTGAGGACGAGCGAGGGAGCCGCCGGCGGCCTCCTTCCCCACTTCTTCCAGATCTGGCTCCCCCCCTTCCTGTCCTCCCTCCTACCCCGCCCTGGCTGGTCCACGTGGAATGGGGGCTGGGGACAGTGAGCTGGCCAGCCAGTGGAGGGTGGGGGACCAGAGGAGGGGGCTAGACGGAGCGAGTTAGACACCGACACAGGGACTACAGAGACCGAGTCCCCCACTGCCACTCCCACCGAGAGCACCAGGGCCTGGGGCCCAGCGGGGAAGAGCGGTTGGCGAAAGCTGAGAAGTCTGAGCTAACTCTGGAAAAAAAGTTTCCGTTTTCCAGAACCCCCGGGTCCTAAAGCCAGCAGAGACGACCCTTGCTTTTTTGCTGGCACCCCCAAATCTAGGCTTCTCCAAGGGGCAGCGGGGCCCCAGAATCGAAGTAATTTTGTCTCCCCCCGGAAGCTGGCCCGTGAGAACTGGGTGATGGAGACACGGAGACAGTGGAGGAGGATGTGTGGGGTAAACAGGGAGCGAGCCTCCCTGACGCGGGACATTGGGGTGATCTAGCCAGGCACGCGTGCAGAGAAGGCAGCTTCCCGGGCATCACCCCCCGCAGCTAGGCTGAGTAGGGGGACGTGGCAACTCCTCCAGTTTCTAGATCTTAAGGTTGGGGGACTGTCCTTGTGTAGGGCGGGGCTTTCTGAGCTCTACACCTCTAGAGTGAAAAGTTCTCCCCACCCACGCCCACTCAGCATCTGTCATAGGGTCATAAGTTGTCCAAGGCTCGTAGGGCACTCAGGGCATCAGTGGACCCTCTCGAGAAGAGGAGCAGGAAGTCCTCCGCCCCTCTGGGGACCTGACCCTGGCCCTCCTCGCCCCCGCCTCCTCCCCGGGGCGCCGGCGCTAAGACCCTGCAGCGCACGGGGGCGGCCCTCAGCCCTGGGCCGGCCTGGAGTCCAGGCGACGTCTCGGGAGCCGGAGCCGGCGGCGCGGCAGGGGCATGGGGTGGGCGGCGTGCGGGCTCCTGTGGCTGCTGCTGGGCAGCGCCGGGGCGCAGTACGAGAAGTACAGCTTCCGGGGCTTCCCTCCCGAGGACCTGATGCCGCTGGCGGCGGCCTACGGACACGCGCTGGAGCAGTACGAGGGCGAGAGCTGGCGCGAGAGCGCGCGCTACCTGGAGGCGGCGCTGCGGCTGCACCGGCTGCTGCGGGACAGCGAGGCCTTCTGCCACGCCAACTGCAGCGGCCCGGCGCAGCCCGGGGCCTCGCACCCTGCGCCCAGCCCCGACGGCGAGCGCGGCGAAGAGTGGGCGCGCGAGCTGCGGCTCTTCGGCCACGTCCTGGAGCGCGCCGCCTGTCTGCGGCGCTGCAAGCGGACGCTGCCCGCCTTCCAGGTGCCTTACCCGCCGCCGCAGCTGCTGCGCGACTTCCAGAGCCGCACGCCCTACCAGTACCTGCACTACGCGCTGTTCAAGGTGGGCGCCCCGCGCCTCGCGCCTCGTGTTCCGAAGGGCGCGAGCAGCATTGTCCCCACCTGGAGCACTCAGTCCCCTGTGCGTTCTGGACTGTGGCCTCTGGCCTCACTGACTCCTTGTCTCCCAGGCTAACCGGCTGGAGAAAGCAGTGTCCGCGGCCTACACGTTCCTCCAGCGGAATCCCAAACACGAACTAACTGCCAAGTATCTCAGTTACTACCGAGGGCTGCTGGATGCCGCCGAGGAGCCGCTCACCGACCTGGAGGCCCAGCCCTACGAGGTGGGACGAGGGATAGGGGAGTGGGGCTGGCTTGGACGCCTCTTCCTGACCCCCCAACTGTAAAAGAGGAGGCAGGCAGGAGGTCCCCCTGACCCTCCTTGCCACCCTCTTCCCAGGCTGTGTTCCTCCGGGCGGTAAAACTCTACAACAGCGGGGATTTCCGCGGCAGCACCGAGGACATGGAGCGGGCCCTGGCTGAGTATCTGGCAGTCTTTGCCCGGTGTCTGGCTGGCTGTGAGGGGGCCCACGAGCAGGTGGATTTCAAGGACTTCTACCCAGCCATTGCAGGTATCACTGGGAACCTCAGGATCTCTAGAAATGGAATCACCCATAACCAGACGACCTGCATCAGGCCAAGTGAGGGGTCAAGTGCTAATAGAGAGAGAGGTGACAGGTGTAGTCACCTAATAGTAAGATACAGAAGGTTACAGCAGGGAATGTCCAAGAGGAGTCCCTGAAGGGTAAACTGGCAGTCCTTCCAGGAAGTAGATGCTGAGGTGGGAAACAGCCCAACAGGTGTGCAAAATGCAGTTTGCCCAGTGTGGCCAGAAATACCTAGTTTCAGAACCCTAAACTCAAAGACTTGTTCTCAGCTTGGATCCAGTCTTACATCCCCCCCGCCACTCTCCCTAAGGCCTTGCTAAGGCTCTGCCCTTATAGCAAACTTGAACCAGGGAGGGTAGGTCAGCCCACGACTTGGATCCTGCCCACAGTATGCATACTTAGTCTTACTTGTTGTCTGTCAGGTATTGGAATATATACTGCATCATTTCCTCTTAATAACCCATTTTTCAGGACAAGGAAACTGAGGCTGGGGAGGCAAAGCTGATAACTGAAGTAACATCCATCAGTGGGAGTAAGTTGGTTCTTACACCAGCTCCTTACCACCCTCTCTCCCACCCCCCCAGATCTCTTTGCAGAATCCCTGCAGTGCAAGGTGGACTGTGAGGCCAACCTGACCCCCAACGTGGGGGGCTACTTTGTGGAAAAGTTCGTGGCTACCATGTACCACTACCTGCAGTTTGCCTACTATAAGTGTGAGCCTCGTGGGTAGACTTGTACAGGGGTAAAAGGATATGGGAGAGGACTATGTTGGGACCTCAAAGGGTTACGGGCAGCTAGCCCTCAGAATTGGGGACTTTAGGTTATGAGAGAAGAGACTGTGGATGTTTGAAAAAGAACACTAAACAGTTTGGGCAATTGGGAGGTTTCTCCGTGGAGACAGCATCCTCCGGAGAGACATATAGGTATGCCAATAGACAATTAACAAAGTCCTGCCTCCACCACATTTCTATCTCATTTAATTCTCTTAGCAATCCCATGCAGCTCGTGTTAGGAAAAATGGAACTATATCTCAGATGAGGAAACTAAGGCTAATAGAAGGCCAGAGGCCATCCCTAATCACATGGCTCATAAAAAACTGCACTAAGACTTGAGGCCAGGACTGTAGATCTTTTCATTGGAGGAAGATCCTGGCTTCTACTGGGGGCTTGGATGGACAACCGCAAGGGTTTCTATGCTGCAGAATGACCCAAATCCAGAGAAGCTGGACTCATGGTGGAGGAGTTGAGGACCAGTGGGCCAGGGGGACCATTCATGGGGACAGAAGACAGAAGAAAGCTGGGCTGCCCTGCCACATTATAATTCCCCCAGTGGCTTCATTCTCTTCTTGTAGAAACTGAGCAGGTAACCTAGTCTCTCTGGACCTCCAGTTATCTCTCTGTAAAATGAGGATGCTACTAACAGTGAGGTTTAAATGAGTTGCCTGGTGCATGGCAGGCACCCTGTACGTGTTAGTTTGCATTGTTACTGGGTAGAGTGAGGAGCACTGGACTGAACTGGGAGGTGCTGCCTCTGAATGTGAGGAAGTGACTGGGATCCTCCTCTCCCTGTCTGCAGTGAACGACGTGCGCCAGGCTGCCCGCAGTGCCGCCAGCTACATGCTCTTCGACCCTGGAGACAGCATCATGCAGCAGAACCTGGTGTATTACCGCTTCCACCGGGCTCGCTGGGGGCTGGAGGAAGAGGATTTCCAGCCTCGGAAGGTGGGCACCGCCTCTGAGGGCACTTGCAGAGCATCTAGGCTGATTAAAAATGCTCACTCCACTCCTGACTCTTTGGAAGGCTAGATGGGAGGAAGAAAGATTACCGGATGGGTCTGGAGTCAGATACGGGCTCAAGCTCCGTTCCCACCAGCTGTGTGGTCCTGGAAATTTTACTGACCCGTTCTAAGTCTGTCACTTCATCTTCAGAGTGATTTGTATGATCTGCCTCACCATTCCAGTTCCTGGCAGGTGGGAGGTACCCAATAAGTATCTGTTGTTGTCATTAGCCACCCCTGGCCTTTGCATTTCGGCAGGGGACTCCTAGCTGAACTAGCTGTGGCAACTTCCTAGGATCTAGAGCAAGACTAGTAAATATGGTGCCACTTTTACTTTCTTTGTCAGTGACAGACATTATTAATCGATTGAGGCTGACTTGCTCATTGAGCCCTCACACTCCAGGCCAAGAGGATCCATTAGCCTATGAGCAGAAACCTGTTCACTGTTCCTTGAGCTGGAAAAGGGAAAGAGGATGTCGATTCTTTCTAGGCACTCTGGCTGCCCCTGCCATCTTCCCACTCTGCACTGCCAGCAGGGAATGGCTCACTCTCTCACCATGCTCTTCCCAGGAGGCCATGGTCTACCACAACCAGACTGCAGAGCTGCAGGAGCTGCTGGACTTTGCACACATGTACCTGCAGTCAGACGATGAGGTAGGTGGTCCCTTATCCTCCAGACCTGGGCCATGGTGGAGGTCGGCTTGAGCCTTTGTCCTGGGCCTTGGTGGCAAAGCTCAGCCCAACCCCCAGCTCAGCTAATGTGAAGCAGAAGTTTACCCATCCCTTACCTTAATTCTCCCTTCTCCACATGTCTGCGTGCCTTTCAGCTCAGATGGCACTTCCTCCAGGAAGTCCTTGGCATGTGCAGTGGCTCTTTCCTCTGCATTTCATTGCCAAACTCTGACCTCTGTCCCTCTCTGATCCCCTGTGGCCCAGATCTGGAGTTCTTTTTAGACGCTGTCCCTTCTGCAGCCAGTCTCCTGGAAGATTGTGTTCCTGACAGGATGGAGACCTGTCATTCCTAGCTCTCCAATGGCGCCTGGCACTGAGCTGATGCTCAGAAACTGGGTTTGAGGCGAGCTGTGGTGTCCTAGTGGCAGGAAGCTGCACTGCAATCCCAGAGGTGCGTGGTTCAAATCCACCAGATGCTCTGCTGGAGAAGGAGGGACAGTCTCCACCTGTACCAGTCAGATCTGATTTGATGGTATACACACACACACACACACACACACACACACACACACACACACACACACAAACTTGAATTTGAATAAATAACTAAATGAATGAGAGGACGGTTGAATGAGGATTTGAGAACCTGAACATCTCCAAGAGTACCTGGTCTGGGCTTCTTTTTTTTTTCCTTTTCTTTTCCTTTTTTATTCGCATATGTACCATCAAATCAGATCCACTGGCACAGGACGATGGGTGGATTCAAACCGCGCTCCTTTGGGATTATAGAACAGATTCTTGTCACTAGGCCACCAGAGCTCCCTTTGCTCAAGATTTCTTATTCATTCCCTTCTGAGTTCATCCATCCACAGCCTGCCTTGCCGGGGGCAGGGACCACAATAGTTAGCATCAAGCCTTTGGTGCTAGTTAGACCTGGCTTCATTATTTACCAGCTAGGTGGCCTCCAGACCAGTCTTAGTAACCTCTCTGAACTTGTCTCTTTCTCCATGGACTGGGGCTCAGAATACCTATGTCACACCCTTGTGGTGGTTAGATTGAAATTAGATCAAGTATGTGAAGCCCCTTGTACAGTGCCAACACATAGTAGGTGCTTAGTGAGTGACAGCCATTCTTATTACTGTTATTCGTTGCCTGAGGTTGGCAGCCCTGTGTTTGTGGCTGGAGTCAATTGGTGCTCTTTCTCAAGCAGCTCAGGGTCTAGTGGGGGAGGCAGAAAAGCAAACGGAGGTCAGTCAGCATTGAGTACTTGGCTAGGGGGCCCAGCCGAGGTCTTCTGTGAGGGCCTCATCCCAGAGCTGATGCCTAGCGTCACGGGGTACACAGGAGCTAGTTTTGGGGGGCTATGCTGTCTAGGCACAGAAGAGTAGGGAAAGCAGCAGAAGCAGACTGCACAGAATAGCATTCCTCTCTCTAGTGTACTTACACTTGAAAGGAAGGGGGCTTTTGCTAATGCTGAGTCTGCTGGTGGAGCCCATACATTGGTTCAGGGAGGGGCAGTTTGGTTAAGGGCTGTGTTAAAAACTGATTCCTGTGTTAGATCTTGACACTGGGGGGAATGGTGCTTAGGAGCCTTAAGAAATAAGACCAGAGGTCCCCCCTTAACTAGGGAGAGAGGCGTTATTGGGTTTGTCTAACCTGCCTTCTTTCTCCAACCTGGGACTGCTCTAGATGGAGCTGGAGGAGGCAGAATCATCCAAGGAGCCTGAGGACCCGCCATCAGACACCGAATTTGAGGGGGAGGGTGACTACGAGGAGGGCATCTATGCTGACTGGTGGCAGGAGCCAGATGCCAAGGGCGACGAGGCTGAGGCTGGTAAGTGACTCATGCCCTGGTGGAGTGTGCAGGGATGTGACTGGAACCAGAAGTTGGCACAGATGGACCCACCCACTGGGTAGCTGAGGCAGCACCGTGTGTGTTCATGCTGGGGTCACTCCTGGGGGCTTCTAGCAAGTGAGCAACTGCTGCTCTCCATGGGGGGCAGAGCGTGGCACCCTTCCTGGAACTGTGAGCCACATAGACCTGTTCCTGAAGAATTGCCCCCACATTGTGCACTCCCTCCCAGCATCCTGATACCTGATGGGGTAGGTAAGGGATTAATCCCAATACTCTGTCTTTTTTAGAGCTGGAGCCTGAACCAGCATGAGAAGGGGGCCACCCCCAGCACCTCTCAGGAGCCTGGGAAACCTGGACCCACCAGTGCCGTGGTGCCACTCCTCCCCAGCCCGGCAGCAGCAGGAACTATTTATTAAAAACTTAAAATGGACATAGCTGACCGGCCCCCACCTGGTCCCACCTGTGAGTGCGACCTTCCCAGCCTCATTCTGCCTCTGGTCTCTGGACCCCAGGATGATGGCCAGCAATGTGCTGACCGGGGCCATCTGCCCCCTGCTTGCCTCACATGGACAGTCTTCCAGAGAAGAAGGTTTTAGCTCCTGACTGGCTTCTCAGCCCAAATTGCAAAGACAGCAGGGGGCCGCAGAGGTCTGGAAGAGGAACTGATCAGAAGTCTGGAGGTTCCTGGTGCACTAGTAATAGGTGCTCAATAAATGTAGGTTGTTGAATGAATTACAGTACTTGGGCCCAGTCTCCCGGGGCTAACTGTGGAACCGCATGTCCCTTCCTCCCCTGGCACTGGTCTTCCCTGCTCTGTGGATGGCGGGGGCTGAGGAGGGCACACACCATATGACAGCTCCTGAGGTCCCCTGGACTGGGTTTGAATGTGGGTGCAAGTGGCAAGGAGCGAATGATGGTGGATCCCCGCCAGGGGGCGCTATGGCCCAATTCCTGCCGCTCGGGAGAATGGTGTTTTCACAGCTCAGCTTTGCTTCCGTCAGGAGACGCAGCCACGGCATTTACTGACCTGGGTTCTGAAGGGCAAGTGAGAATGCCTTAAGTGGGCCCTTTGCTGTTCTCTGTTTTCCCGTCAAGAGCTCGAGACTGGAGTCCCTCCCAGTGGCCACAGAGGATAGGTTTTGCGTACTTGGGACCTCTTGGAGAGCAGTGGGATGAATCTCAGGGGGCAGAGCGTGGTGCCCAGTGATTACCACCCAGCACCCCAGTGATACTCCCCTTCTCAGGGCCTACCTGTGTGTGTGCATTCAGAGTGAACCTCACTGCCTCCAGAAGGGAGCTGAGGCAAAAGGGGTTTCTAAGGACAGATCCAGGCAGGTGCCAGTTTTGTTCTGTTCCCTATGTTTGCCTTTTCTCTTCTGGAAGGAATACCTCCTAGTCCATGGGGAGTTGCACTGCTGACACAAAGGTGCCTCTCTAACAGTTGAAATTCCCCAGCAGCTCTGGAGTTATTAACAGCCTCTGAAAACCTGCCGGAAGGTCAGCTAGCTGTGAGTTGGCTCAGACCAGGTAATGCGTTGAGTTTGTTTTTTGCTTTCTCCTGGAGGGTGGGTTCAAGTCTAGCAGCTGAATTTGCACCCACCCTGTCCACACCCTTGCCCCTCTTACCTGAAGTGCCAGGTGACCTGGCCAGGGCTCCACCCGCTCTGCATTGCAGACGCCCTGCCCCACCTTAGACCCCTCCCCTGAACCTTTGATCTGGATGAGGGCTGGGAGGCCAAAGTCTGAATCTGGAGTGGGCTGGATCGGGTAGGAGGCCTGGTGACCTCACTTCCTCCTCCCTCTCTGGGGCAGGTCAACCAGGAAGACCCACAACTGTCTAGAAGTGGCTCCCAGTGACTCCCACGTGCTGTAGTGACCAGGCAGAGGGGGCCCTGCTCCATCCTGCCCTTTCTAAGCAGCTTTGTTGTCAGCTTGTATGTATCCTCAGCCCTCTTTTCTGGGAGGGGCCTCCACCAGGGCTGGCACTTGGGAGGGTAGGAAGCAGGGATATGCTTGAGCGTGTCTGCGCAGATGGGTGCCTGGTGAGCACGAACTTTGGAATCTGGAAGCCTGGGTGTGGGATTAAAAGAGAGTGTGTGTGAGAGAGAGAGCGAGCGAGCAGGAGGAGTTCTGAGTGTCCGTGACAGCCTCATGGGTGACAGGCTGTATGTGTGTGTGCACTGATGAATGCATTTCCAGGAGGTTCACGCACCCATTCAGTACATACTTGTGCGCACCCACCCTGTGGGGCATGCTGTAGGTGTAGGCATACAAGGAAACTAGCAGATGTATATGAGGCTTACACTCCAGCAGAGTGGAACAGGCCATAAACAAACGTTATGATGAGTAATGTCTAAGATTCTGCTGGAGAAGTGTGACTGGGTTGTAGTGGAAGTGAGTGAGTTGATGTATGTGTCTCATTGTGTGTGTGAGAGACAGGGAGGGGGGCATCCCCAGGGTGCCAGCCCCTCTCTAGGTACCCCGCCCCCATCCAGGCTTTGAGCCAGGCCCTCCTCTTCAGGGTGCCTTACTCAGCTCCTCTTTCCCAGGGAGCTGCCAGCCCCTCCCAGCCCTCCCTGGTGCCAGCGTCTCCCCACTGCCCAGCCGGTTTCCCAAACCGGTGTGACCGAGTCCTGGCAGCGTGGGCTTTCTGGGGCCCTCCAACTCTGTCTTCAACCCCTCCCTCACCTCCTAGCTGTCTCTGTCTCACTCACCTCCCTGTCCAGCCCCTCCACAGCCCTGCCCAACACCTCATCAGCTCCAGCATGTGTAGAATGGATTGAAGTTCAGAATGGCCAGAGGGACACTTGAGCCAGACTTAGTAGGATTCCATAGCAGTGACTTGGCCCAGAAAGACCCCAGTGGGGGAAAGTAGTACTGTAATGGATAGTGGTACCTGACAAGCTACCTGTGACATGCAGAACCGTCTCATAACCCAGAGAGCATTCCCTCCTTCCAGGTTAATCTGAGGAATGAGAAGCAACTTGTTGAAGACTCTTGAGGTGGCTGGTGGCTGAACAGAGTCTCAACCTTTTCTCCTCAAATTGCTGCTGTTCACAGCAGGGTCTCTGGTATTGGCCATGTCCCTTCAGGCTGTCATTTGGGGATCAGGAAAGGAAGATGGGGGTTGATTTGGAGACTAAACCTGCAGTGGCCAGCCCATCGAGGGGAACATGGGGAGGAAGGAAGGAAGGCAGGGAGGGAGGGGAGTGGGCAGGCAATCCCCATTCAAGAGTCCCTCCTCCCATTGTTAGCTCCGTGGGGTTGCTCCGGAAGTTGGGAAGTCTGAGACTGACTTGCTGGGGTCACTTAGTCCAACTACTCCTTGGATCCTGAGAGGTGGAAGCCAGGAGAAGGGGAAGTCCCCGCAGGCTCCCAATAAAGTGCAAAGGAAGTCTCACTTGAGGTTTAGGAAATTGTTCTGGACATCTTCCCCTGGTACACACTGTCTAGGGACAGAGTGGTGACGGGGGGTGTGCTCAGCTGGCACTGGGGCTCACAGCTCAGACTGGCTGGTAAGATCCTGGTAACCTCAGGGCCCCAGACCCACAGTGGCCCCATTCGAGGCTTCATCTACGTATACTTTTCTCCAAGGGCGACCCTGGCAGATGGCCCCAGTATCATGACTGGGGCAAATGAGGCTCAGAGAGGCTCATTTGAGCCCTGAGGGCCAGGGCTAACTCTCAGCTTGCTGGCCTGGCCCTGCCCTACTCCTTTCCCATAATCAGCTCCAAGATGACACAGGGATTAGATCAGAGTGAGCTGGGGGCCTGGGTGGCCCACCCGACTCAGCCCAAGCCCAAACCCCAGGCCCAACCTGTGGACACATCACCCCATAATCATCACCTGCCTGGGTTCCAAGGTGGCGCCAAGGTGCCCGAATAGCAGCTCTTCTGTGCTCCTAAACAGCCCTTGGGGTGGGAGTGCCTCTCATACATTGGCTCAGGTGGGGAAACTGAGGTAAGGGGCAGATATGCTCGTTTACCCGTCTTCCCCATAGATAGCTACTTGACGCTTTGAGTCAGTGGAAGAACTCATTAGTGGAGGTCACCCACAAAGAAGAGACGGGACTGGCATCTTCCACTTTGGGTTACCTTTTCTTTCTTTTTAAAGAAGAAAGTTATTTATGTTCCTAGAGGAATGCAAGAATGGCCAAGCCAGATGTCTTCCTTTTGCCCTGACCACTAGGATAAATCCATGTAGTCTTCCTGGAGGAGGAGGCAGGGAAAGGGTTGGACTCAGTCACCCTAAGTGGAAGTCTTGCTTCTCTGCTGACCTGGTAGGTATCTCTTAGCCATAAAGGATCGCCCATTTAATATGTCATCTCCAAATGTGGGTATATATATAAACACAGAGACACAAAGCCCAGACTGAAGTCTGAAAATACTTGTCAACTGACTTCAACCTTCTGCATATTTATTTTGATACCCCATCCAGAAGCTTGTTGTACGTGGTTTGAGGCCACCAGCTGCTCCAAGGGAAAAGGATGGGCAATCTCCTCCTGAGAAATTAACTGCCTCTGAAAAGCTGCCAGAGGGTGAGCAATGGGTCAGTTCTGACTCGATGGTACACAACAACCACCCCCTTTTTTTAGGGAGCTGTGGTGGCCTAATGGTAAACTGCTAGCTGTGTTGCCAACCCAAAGGCATGTGGTTCAAATTCACCGCTCGCTGCTCCCCAGGAGCAAGATGGGCACTCTCTTCCCTTGTGCCTCTGAAAACCTCTCTGAAGGGTCAGCTGTGAATTGGTTCTGACATGATGGTCCACAACTTTTTCTTTTTAAAATGCTTTGGTATTCTCAAACATGGAAATCCCCTGGCTTAGAGCTGCCCCTTGCCCCATACACACTTTGGATGCAGCTGGCTTCCTCCACATCCTTTATCCACAGCCCAGGCTCTGCTCCTCTCCCCCACACACTCTGCCCTCCCCTTCATGAGTTCCAGGTTCCTTGCTGGGCAATAAATTATCCATGAGCTGTAAGTTGGCTGCCTCTTCAACTAGAGTCTGAAGTGCTGATGAAATATTCAAGGATCTCAACTCTCAATTCCCTAGTGGCTGTGGGGTGGGCTGGGGAAGATGGGATTCATGTACCAGGCCAGGGGTCTTCTGAGGCCTGGCCGCCCCTCCCCAAGTCCCTAGGCAGGGCGAGTGGGAGTCTCTGCATAATTGACTGCTGTGCCATTAGCAGGTTTAGAAGAAGTGAGCCTGAATTCTTGTGCCCTGAGTGGCTTCTGCCCACCCTCTCTGGTCTTTGCCCCCACCCTACCTCTCCTCTCTCTCATCCAAAGTTCTTCAGAACTCAGACCTCAAGCTTCCTTTCCACAAAAAACTGCCTTCCTCTCTTTCCCTCTGCACCCCACCTCTGTTGGGGTTCCAGAAAGAGATGGGAGAAGTGAGCTGGTTGATGTGAGACAAGGGCCCATGTTCCA